TGTCGAAACTATATTAAAAACATAGAAAAGGGTATGACGAAATTATTTTGAGGAGGTTTCGGCAGGCATCTATAATTCTAATCAATTCAAAATTTAGTTTTACCAATTTTTTAGTTAATTTAATTATATTTTATTTTTTTTTTTAAAAATATAAAATTAATCAAAATTGTTTTTTAATTAAATTTATAATAAAATATTATATACAAAAATAAAATTATTTATTATAATAAATTCTTATAAAGCTTTTTTTTTATTTACAAATAACTTGGAATTTTTTTTGAAAATCGAAAAAATTTCAGTTATATTTTTATATAGTAAATTAGCATTATAATTATTTACATTTCTTTACTGTCGAAAAAAAAAGGTCGATTCAAAATACTCGTAAAGATTCGGGATTTTTTTTTAGCGCCTTTAAAGGTTTAAATTTTAACAAAATGCAAAACAATTCATATTTTGAAGGAACTTTTTTTTTTTTTTTTTAAAAATAAAAAATTTTATTTTTAAGTTCAATTTTTTTAAAATCATATCATAAAAAAAAAAAAAAATTAAATAAATAATTTTTTTTTTTTCGATTGAAAAATTTTCCTTCTTTTTTGACTAACTAATTATTGAAAAAGAAACAAATATTGAAGAACGAAAGGTTTTCGTTAGTGTAAAAGAGAATTAAAAATTTTCAATGCATTATCTTTTTTTTGGGACTTTAAAAAGCCTAACGTGAATTTTTGTTGAACAAAGAACAAGGAGCAAATGAATAATTCACATAGACGATGTTTGTAGTGAGAACATAAAAAAAAGTATGTAGTTGCAACGACGCTTCAAAGGGCTATGTTTTCGTCTTACAACGTAAGTAAACATCATTTCTCACTAAACTAATTTATGAAACTAAAAAAAAAAAGGACACTGCTCCAAAATAATTTTGATAAAATAAAAAAAAAGGTGGTGGGTCTCGAACCTTTTAATAATATAATAATAAAAGATCTTTACTACTATCAACTCTTCTCTTTCCTTTTTAATTGATGTTAACCCCCACCACCAGGGACCAAAAATTTCTCATTTCCAATTATCATAAACGATAAGATTAAAAGGAAAAAAAATAACTGAAAATTACTTTTATGAAAGACAAAACCCACCATAAGAATTAGTCCCCAGTCTAATTGTAAGATAAAAGAAAGGAAATGCAAAAAAGTACCATGCCATAAGCTTTCTCCGACTCAAAACAAATACAAGAATCGAGAAAAGCCAACATGTAAAAAAATTTTTAAGGAGAGAAATAACACAAGAAAAAAAAAGAGGAGAGGTAAAATAGGGGTATTCATACAAAATGTACAAACGAAAGAGAGTTGAAAAGGGAAGGGGGGGAAGGGGAAAAATATATTAAAAAAATCCAAAAAATAAATTCTTTTTTGAAAAAATTCTAAAATATGATTAAATAAAAAAAGGAATAAAAAAAGAGGTGAACCACAAAAACATATTTACAAATAAAATCTTTTCCAATTTAACAATAACCAAAAAAAAATGAAACGAGAATTAAAAAAAATTGAGCTCTATTAACACGAAAGTTCTCAACACAATAATGCACTCTCTAATTAACCCATGAATAAATTGTCCAAAAAAATCGAATAAATAGGGGAGAAACCAAAAATTATTAATAATTGTGGAGATGGATTACGGATGTTAATGACGTGATGGCAAAAAAAAATTTTTTATCAAGGGCAAATTAGTGGGCGCACTTGCATTGATCATTTCGCAAAAGGACCCATCGTCCATGACAAAAAGGAAAAGATCCAAACGTATTAGGAAAAGATCTGAAGAAATATGTCTATGCAATAAAAAAAAAAAAGAAAAAAGAAAAAAGAAAGGGGGAAGTAATATGGTGGGTTAATTATTAGGGTGGTAGTAATAAAATCAAAAAAAAAAGATGAAAAAATATTATAACAAAGAAAGAAAATAAACTTGCAACAAAAAATGTACAGGTGCAGAAAAAAGGGGGGGAAATGCAAAAAAAAAAAAAAAAAAAAAAATGAAAAATATAATAACAGAAGGAAGTGCCACACGTCTAGAAAAAAATTATATATATATATAATATGAAATGAAACTCTTTTTTTTTTTGATTATATCGCCGCATCGATAATATTATACAAGGTGAAACAGAGTGGTCGATACATGTTTTCCCTGCAATCACGAATAGTAATATTATAAATATCTAGACAAATTAATCTACACAAGAGACACCTCTTCTCGTTCTCATTTATTTCTCCACGCACAATTATTGCCCATGAATTTTCAACATATTTCTCAAAGTTTCAGAAATTTCATTCAAATTCAAACCGTTATTCGCGGGATAAACTTTCATTGGATGATGGGCAGTAGCCATACGTTCAGGAACCATGTAGGCTGCCGCGGTTTGATGTTGACGGGCATTGGCAGCTGCCAAAATACGTAAAAGTTCTTGTGATTTTTGTTTTCTCAAAGTGGGAGTTTCTGGATAATAAGGTGCACTCGATGGTTCAAAGTCGTCCATGGCAAAGATGTCGTCGTCGGAAGCATTACCCGAAGATGGTGAGGAGTGTGAGGAGTTTGAGTCATTGTAAACTTTTGGAGGGGATGGCATATTTTCGGGAACGGTAAACAAGTTGTTGCCACCAACTGACAAAGGACTTGGGTCCTTACCCAAAGATTTACTGTAAAACGAAGGCATTGGTAAATCACTTGGGGCGGGTGAATTATGAAAGGTGGGGCCGGCGTAAAGTTTATGAGCGCCACCAAGTCTACCCGGGGAACTTGAAAGTCTACGGGCAGTTGGAGGGGTTGACGACAAGATCGATTCGGAGGGTGGAGTGACTGAATCAGAGTCAGAGAAGCGAGAAACTTGACTTTGTAATTCGATGGCAGTGCTGGAAAGTCGACGGCGTGGAGCAGAATCAACATGATTATCCGAGAGTCTCTTGTATTCTTTATCTACGGGTCTATCCGAAGGACTGTAAAAACGAAAAAGAGTGACGAAAAAAAATAAATTAACATGCAATCGATTGAAGGGCACTAAAAAAAAGAAAATATGATGAGGGGAGCATACCTCCTGATAGTAACGTTATCATCGGAATTCGAGAAAACGTTCTCTCTCTTATTACTATTCATCCCTTCCTCAAGGGCAATAATAGCGTTAGAATAATTAAGAGGGGGGAAGAGGAAGGCGGCGTTGCTTGCTTGTGAAGGAGACCCAGACAAACTATTATTATTATTATTAAAAGTTGATGACACTGACTTCACATATTTACTACTATTTACATCAGATTCATCGCCAGAACCTGAAAATTGTTTGATGGTAATTGGTTGAGGTGGGCTAGCACTATGCAAAAAATCAGTTTCGATATATTCCAAGACTTCGGTCATTGATTTTATTTCCTTACGACGTTGAGCACGTTTAGCCTTGGAAGGCGTTACATCGGAACGACGACGTTGTTGTTGTTGTTGTTGTTGTTGGGACGACTTCTCAACGACTTTGCCATAGCGTTGCTCATGAGTTACATCGAGAGAAATAGACGCTTTCGAAGGTTTTACAAAGTCTGTAGCGGATTGAGGTCTCTTGAGGATCGAAACACTAGGTGTAACTCTAAATTTATCTTCGTCGACCGAGTCGCTGTACTGATGTCTTCTTAAGGGTCTACTTGAAGTGCTTGATTTTCTTTGTAATTGACCGACAGAACCATTCTCAACCAACCCATCAACATTTTTTGGTTCTCTATTATACGAATCAAAGTTATCGACGCGATTATTGCTGTAGTTTGAAAAATTTTTGTTGTTGGAATGACGAGGGAAGGAGTTAATATCGGTGGCGGGGGAGGTGGTCGCGGTAGAGGATGATGACACGGAGGATGTCTCTTTTAGTTGTTGTTGATGATTATACGAAAAACCGCGTTTCCCCCTGTTTAATGACTTTGACCGGTTATGAGATTGATGTCTTGCTTCCGGATGTTTTAATTGTTGAAGGTGGTGGTGTTCGAGCCTGCTCTGCACCACTGGAGCAGAGAAATGTGCTTTATTTGCTGTATTATTTACTGTATTACTTATATGATTAGTCATTGTCCTTTTATTTTTTTTTTTTTATAAATTTTTAAAATACTGTCTTTTAATTGAGGTAACCAATGCCAAAAGAATTTTTTAAATGAATAATGCTATGTGAAAGTAGTGGGTTAATAATTAAGCGAGTTGTGAGCTATACGGTCGAGTTTGGAGAGCGAAAGAGGCAGTGTTTGAGGAAAGGCGAAAAAAAAAAAAAAAAATCATTTTCTAAGTTAGTATATTTATATCAAAAAAAAAAAAAAAAAAGTACAATAAGGAAACATTCGATACCAAAATAAAAAAGAGGTTTAACCGTACAAGTTCAAGTGGGAAGTTTTGGGAGACACTCTGGCGCTGTACTGAATATTATTGCTATTATTGTATTGATGATACTGTAAGGTATAATTTGATACTATAAAACAAAAATAGGTGGTTTTAATTTATCAGTCAGAGATTTGTATTGATAGATTCCTTTTTTTATAAAACAAAATCGAGTGAATAAGTAAAGTACAAAAACATATATATTAACATATATATACATTTAATCTCTCCAGCGTGGTAGTTGAATTTGTTGGTCGAGTAAAGGGTTATATATTATTTTTTTTTTCTTTTTTGTTTTTTTTTTTTTTTTTTTTTTT